ACAAGAACAAATCTGAATTGCTGACCTCCCATAGGTTTCCAAACAATCAACTCACCCTGTGGAATTACACATCCATGACGAGAAAAGCTGAGCTTTTTGGTCATTCATCTCGTGTTCTTTACTTGGTTGGGAGCCCATTGGGAGGTGTAGTAGCTTCTGCAGCAGAAGATGAGACACTCAAGTTTTGGAATGTCTTTGAGACTCCCAAACCACCAAAACCTGAAGCAAGCACTGTGCCCTTTGCCCAATTTAGTGTCATAAGATGAAAATGCTGATGGTTGGAAAAGACTACAAGAGTAATACGGAAAACTTCTTTAGTGCTTGACAAAAAGATCCATTGTTGATAGCGTTGCATAGAGCAGTTTGTGGCATCAAAGAGGCAACATATTTTCATACAAGCATCATACATTTAAGATCTTCGGATACGAGTGCAAGCGTATAAGTTAAGTAAGAAATTTACAACCATGCTTTAATTTTTACAGCATTTTAATAGGTTTATTATACAATAAACCAATGTGGTTGCAATTGTAAGTTTGATTTTTGTATCTAATTTTTTTTTCAGCTTTGCATATATCTTGGGTATAACCTTTACCATATTGATGACACATGCAATCTATAAGCACTACATTATTGTTGCTATATTTTATGTATTCTAGTTTTAATATTTTTATCCATGTTGCATTCTTGTTGTATGTTTTTAGGTGATTTGTTAATTCTTCCTTCTTTAAATTTGAGAATCTTTATGTTGACTTCTCAAGTACTAGATGAAAATGCTGATGGTTGGAAAAGATTATTAGAATAATACAGAAGACTTCTCTAGTGCTTGAGAAGAAAATCCATTGCTGGTAGCATTGCATAGAGAAGTTTGTGGCATCAAAGAGGCAACATATTTTCATACACGCATTATATATTTGTGATCATTAGATATGAGTGCAAGTGCCTAAGATGGAAAATTTAGAACCATGCTTTAATTTTTATAGCATTTTAGGTCTATTTACAATGAGTCTATGTGGATGCAACTGCAAGTCTGATTTTTGTATCCAATTTTTCTTTCAGCTTTGCACATATATTTGCTATAACCTTTGCCATATCGACATGCAATCTATAACCACTACATCATTGTTGCTATATTTTATGTGTCCTAGTTTTAATATTTTTAACCATGTTACATTTTACTATTATAGTTCTATCTTTTTATGTAAATTATTTTTTTTCCTTCTTTAAATTTGAGAATCTTCATGTTGATGTTATTATTTGTTTGTTTATGTTAATTATGCATAATTAGACCAACGAGGTAGCTGTTTATATTTTTTTTTGTTTCTGCTGAGTTGAGGTTTCTTATGATTTTAATGTAGCCTCCTGAATTTCAGACTTTTCTTGTTGTTGAAAAAACTGGTTATAAAGTGTATAATTTTGAATCTTAAATGGTTTCAATATGTTACTATATAGTGAATAACCTCCAAGTAAAATATAAGTTCAAGAGTGAAATCCAAGCTTAAAATATTTCAATTTTAATAGGATGTATCATAATTTCTGTAGAATGCAGTCATCAGACCTTTAAGAATTGCAAACCAAATTGAATATTTAATAGTAAAGAGATATCAAACAAATAATTTTATGAGTTTGTTAAAGATGAGGCATTATGATTCTGTTTATTACGTTTTTTTTCTGTGATATAAACAGAGACTCATGATTTCCATTAATAGACTATCTTCTGTTGGTCTCAAGATTGAGCTTGACAAATGGAGTCAAATAGGATATTACGCAAGTTCTAAATTGTGGAAATTAGCTTATTATACCAACAGTTAACAAATGCTTGATTATAGTGATAGTGTCGTTCTGGTCCTTCTAGATTATAGTAATAAAAAGATCTTTGTTGAGTCTGAAGGTTCTAATTTGTTATTATTTCGGTCTGCAGGATTTTTCTTGCTGATTAGCCGTTGTAGCAGACTAGTAGCAATCTTCATGAGATTGTTAGAGAAGCTTGCTAAGTTTCATACAAATGCTCACCAACTAATGACATGGCTACTATTTCAGTATTTTGAATTATGCTGTTGCAGTCATCTTTCACGAGTTTCAGCATCCACGTGCTGTAGTTTGAATCTGCTACTTGTGAGTATAAAACTGACATCTGAATTGGTATTTCTTCATGCCATCTTCCCTGTTTATTTAAGGAGAATAAGCTTTCAGCAGCTGTTGTGATTATTGATTTTAATTCCTAATATCATATATGTAAAAGGTTTAAATTGACATGATAATTCCAGTTGAAACATTTAAGTGATTGTTTTTTTGAGTCATTTAATTGACATGCTTATTTTGGCCCAGTTGTGTGGCTTTGACCATTCTAGTTAGTTTGGCTTGAAGATTTTCAACCTAACAAAGCTAATCTCAGATCTGAAATCAAAAGTGGCATCAGGTCCAGTATTTCTTGTTTGATTGAGCTCAAATTGGAGCATTAGTAAACTCCATAGTTCTTCCTATCTGTCATGTCCATCCTTGTCTAGCTTTATTGATTAGGAATTTTGCTATATAGTTT